CAGGAGAGGCTGGAGGAGGCGAGGCCTGGCGCGCCGGGGCTAACTGGCCCGGGCGGTAGGACGGGTTCCTGTTGTTTGAAACTTTCATCGACTCCCGCGTGTGCGTGTGTCCGCGTGTGCCGGCCATTTCGGGGTGGGGGAGTTCTTCCTTCTCCGTCTTTCCAGATCCACCCTATTGAGGGGGTGGGGATGGAGGCCGCGAGACCCTTCCTAGAGTCCCCGGCCGGCGGGGGAGCCAGGCTGAGACTGAAACTGGGAACCTGCCCAGCCAGGTCTCTCAGAACAGTAGCCAGAAGCCGAAAGGGCCAAAGGGCCTTGGTCATAGGTCACTGTCCCTCCCGCCTGCGACCTCGGCCCACCCACCCGCCTGGGAGACGCTTGGGCGGGGGCGTAGGGCGGTGTCTGCCCCAGAGGCAGACGCCGCCAGGTGTAAGCTGCTCGTTGAGGCCTGCCCCAGCTGGCCGTCCAGGCGTGGGCGCTGTCCTGACCCCGCCTGGAGGCTACCTGCCTCCGGAGTGCCAAGGCCTAGGGTTGCCTCCTGGCCCTGGCTGAAGTGGGAGGCTGTTCCCATTGCTGTTTTCTCTCAATTATCTTCACTACTGCGCTCAACCCGTGTCTGGCGGTTGAGTATAATGAGTGTTAGTGCTTTACACGCACGAATTTCATTTTCCAACTCTGGTAGTTCCTGATGAGGAAATGGAAGCACAAAGATGATTCAACCTAGGCTGTTGCCGAAGGGCTTCCAGGCCAGCCCCCACCTGGGGAGTGTGCTGAAGGAGAGCTGGGTTGCCTTGCTCGGCCAGTCTCAGAGTGTGAAGTTGGCGTGGGGGAGGTTCTTGGGGCTGTGCTGAGTGCTTATACCTGTTCGCCAGCAGGGATGGAGGCTGGGGGAGGGGCTGGAGTGCCACCCCCTCTATGAGCAAACAGCTCAGTGCCAGCAGGTCGATAGGGTGTGGGTCAAAGCTCATGCTGCCCCTGGCGTCCAGGTGTGGAGCTCTGTCCTTGGAATTTCTCTGGCCCTCGGTTGGTCAGACCTAGAGGCGGGGCTGCCATTGACCATGAGCCGGATGGGCCCCAGGCAGGACTGGGCCTCTCCCACCTGTCTGAAGGTGGAGCCTGGTCAGGGACAGGTTTAACCTGCTTTGCCCCGCCCCTTCCCACCTGCTTGTCCCACTCCACCAGGTGTTTGCTCTGGCCCCACTCCAGACTCCTGGAGTGTGTGCAGTGGGGGATTGGGGGATATGTAAATGCCCCCTTTTGGCCTGGAGAAGCTGATGGTGGACTGAGGGAAAAAGGGAACTACAGAGCCAGGCCCAACAGGTATGGCCACCTACTCCCCAAGCAGGGTAGGGCTGGCCGAACATCTGGCAGAACCAGCTTTGCAGCCTGCGCCCTCTTTCTTCCTGCCTGCCCAGCTGTGAGTCTGTCTCTCTCCCCAGTTCTCACAGCTGGTGCTCGGGGATGTGGCTCTGCTGGGCGGGGGCCCCTACGTGCTCTGCACTGATGGACAGCAGCTGCTGCGACAGGTCCTGCATCCTGAGGCCTCTAGGAAGGTATGCCACTGAGGGCACAACAGGGGGCAGGGTTCTCAGGCCATCCATTGTCATGGGGGTGGGCTGCTCAGTTTCATCTATTCATCCCTGCTCACCTGTGCCCCCAGAACCTGGTACTCCCCGACACCTTCTTCTCCTTCTACGACCTCCGCAGAGAGTTCCATGTGCAGCACCCAAGCGCCCGCCTCGCCAGGGACCTCACCGTGGCCACCATGGCACAGGGTACCTGTGTCCCAGAGGGGTTAGAATAGATGGGCAGCCATAGGCTATATGTGTCTGAGTATGTGCATGCTGGTGGCTTATATGAACATACCCAATTAGCATTATCTGCTGAGTCCTTAAGTGCATGTCTGTCTGGATTGGGGCACATTTGAAAAGTAGACATGTCTACATATGTCTGGGCTGGGGGATCTGTAAGGGCATACATGAGCAGGGCCAAAACATGTGCTTGCTGGGATTCCACGTGCTTATGTAGGGGACTTGGGCCTAGGTGGGACCAGTCATAGGGCTCACGCTGATTGCCCCAAGCCTCTCCTGCTGGGATTTCCTCATTATTATTTCACTGCTCATAGAGTTGGGGCTGGAAACAGATGCCACAGAGGATGACTTTGGGGTCTGGGAAGTGAAGACAATGGTAGCTGTCATCCTCCACCTACTTGAAGGGCCCAATGGTAAGGTTCCCCTCACCATCTGGTACCCATTCTCTCTCAGGGCTGGGTGAATGCCTACCTATTAATTCCTCAAAGTCCCCTTCCCTCCCTTCCCTAGTTCTTACCTTTTCTGAGAGACCAGATGGTGGGAGCCCCTTTGTCACCTCCTCTTCAACTGTCCTCTTTTTAGAGAGTTTGGTGGGGAGATCCCCTCCACCAGACCCTGCTGACTCCCATGTCATCTCCTCTCAGATCAATTGTTTTCGAAGCCCGAGGTGATAAAGCAGAAATATGAGACGGGACCTTGGTGAGTGCAGGGCAGGGATGGGGGTGACAAGAGTAAGGCACCCTTGTTAACAGGGTAGACAGCTCTGACCCTCGGCCCTACCCCCACAGCAGCAAGGCTGAGGTGGTGGACAGTGAGACTGTGGTTCGGGCCCGTGGGCTGCCCTGGCAGTCATCAGACCAGGACGTGGCTCGCTTCTTCAAAGGACTCAACATTGCCAGGTGGGTGCAGCATGATGGTGGGCCCAGGAGGGCAGGCCTACCCAGGAGGTACTAACATAGCCTTGCTCCACAGGGGTGGTGTAGCGCTCTGCCTCAATGCCCAGGGGCGAAGAAATGGCGAGGCCCTCATCCGCTTTGTGGACAGCGAGCAGCGGGACCTAGCGTTGCAGAGACACAAGCACCACATGGGTGTCCGCTACATTGAGGTGGGCCTTTGGGCTGGGAGTGGAGCAGAGCAGAGCTGAGGCCAGCCCCCTCAGGCCTGAGACCCACGGACTGTCCCTACTGTCCCCACAGGTATATAAAGCAACAGGAGAGGAGTTTGTAAAGATCGCAGGGGGTGAGTTGTGCCCCCAGCAGCACCTAGCTCCCCCTGGTTCTTGACCCATGTCCCACTCCCCCACCACCCCTTGCCTTTCTGCTCCCCTGTGTGCCAGGTTTGGATGGGTAGTTGGAAGGGCATGAATGAAGTCAGTAGGTGACTCCCATGCCACCCTCATCAAGGCACATCACTAGAGGTGGCTCGGTTCCTGTCACGGGAAGATCAAGTGATCCTGCGGCTGCGGGGACTGCCCTTCTCAGCTGGGCCAGCAGACGTGCTCGACTTCCTGGGGCCAGAGTGCCCAGTGACGGGGGGTGCCGATGGGCTGCTCTTTGTGCGCCACCCTGACGGCAGGCCCACTGGCGATGCCTTTGCACTCTTTGCCTGTGAGGAGCTGGCACAAGCTGCACTGCGCAGGCACAAGGGCATGCTGGGTAAGCGATACATTGAACTCTTCCGGAGCACTGCAGCCGAGGTGCAGCAGGTGAGCACCCAGGGCTCCCCCACCCCCATGTGCTTCTCCAGGGTGGCCCTTTCACCCCACTCCACTCTGTGTCCCTGCCCTACTTTGCATGACCAGTTGCTGCCTTCCTTATTAGGTCCTGAACCGCTACGCTTCCAGTCCACTCCTTCCCACACTGACTGCTCCACTGCTGCCCATCCCCTTCCCAATGGTAGCTGGGACTGGGAGAGACTGTGTACGCCTCCGAGGCCTGCCCTACACAGCCACCATCGAAGACATCCTAAGCTTCCTGGGGGAGGCAGCAGCTGACATCCGGCCCCATGGTGTGCACATGGTGCTCAACCAGCAGGTGAGGCTGCTGCCAAAAGGGGACACACAGAGGAGTGTGTGGTTGGGAGTAAGGGACCCTTGCTAACAGGATTGACTGCTTATAAGATGGTGTGCACAGGGCCGGCCGTCTGGCGATGCCTTCATCCAGATGACGTCAGCAGAGCGGGCCTTAGCTGCTTCTCAGCGTTGCCATAAGAAAGTGATGAAGGAACGCTATGTGGAGGTAGTTCCCTGCTCCACAGAGGAGATGAGCCGTGTGCTGATGGGGGGCACTTTGGGCCGCAGCGGCATGTCTCCTCCACCCTGCAAACTTCCCTGTGAGTATCCCAGGGCTGGGGAAGGAGGAGGCATGTGGGTGCCAGTTATAACCTTCACTTTCTACAGTGGGGACTTCTGGCTGCCCCACCCAGGGCAGCGCCAGGCCCCCTGCAGATGTACTCTCTGCTTCTGCCTCTAGGCCTCTCGCCACCAGCCTACGCCACCTTCCAAGCCACCCCAACACTCATTCCCACTGAGACGGCAGCTCTCTATCCCTCTTCAGCACTGCTCCCAGCTGCCAGGGTGCCTGCTGCCCCCACTCCCATTGCCTACTACCCTGGGCCAGCCACTCAACTCTACATGAACTACACAGCTTACTACCCCAGGTACCCTGCTGCTAAGAGAACTGCGTAGACTTGCCCCTGTCCTGGTTTGGAGGAGGGTCATGATCCTCTTCCTGGGTCGGATAACCCACGGTCTGAAAGAAGGGAGTGAGATGCGGGCTAGCTGATGCTATCTACAAACTAGAATAGATGACATAGAGGACAGGTTTTAGAGAGGAGGAACTAAAATGAACTAAGCATAAGTCAGAGGCAAGGGAAGGAGGAGGAAAGTCTTGGTGTAGGTTGTAGGTAGGACTGTACTAAAACCCTATTTTCCCACCCTAGCCCCCCAGTCTCTCCCACCACTGTGGGCTACCTCACCACGCCCCCTGCGGCCCTGGCTTCTGCTCCTACCTCAGTGTTGTCCCAGCCAGGAGCCCTGGTCCGTATGCAGGGTGTCCCATACACAGCTGGCATGAAGGATCTGCTCAGCATCTTTCAGGCCTACCAGGTGAGTGTGACTAGGGGGTTTGGGGACCTGGCTGAGCCTAGAGCTCCCTGCCCTAAATCTCTGTTCCTTCTGCAGCTAGCCCCTGATGACTACACCAGCCTGATGCCTGTTGGTGACCCACCTCGCACTGTGCTACAGGCCCCCAAAGAGTGGGTGTGTTTGTAGGTGAGGGAGTCAGGAGGTAAGAGCTGGCTGATGTCTTCAGCTAACGTCTCTCCTGCATCCAGAGAACCAGTGCCCTCATCCTGGTGACTTCCTTCTGAAGGCACTCAGAGGAGCTCAAGCCCCAGCTCCATCCCCCCACTTACTGCTCTGCTGTTCACCCCAAAGATGATAGCTAAATCTTGCATGTAGGGCTGGGGGTGGAATGGTGCTACCCTGCTCCCAAAGGCCTGACCTAGGCCTCCTGAGTAGCACCCAGAGAGCCTTTGGTCTGTTCTGGCTGTGGCCCATGCCCACAGATACTGTGGGGAAACATCCACAGCAGGCTTGCCTTTTTTAAAATGTAAGCCCTGGTGCCTTCAATGTATGACTCCTGGGAGCTTCTGATGGTGGAGCAGAGAAACAGAGTGCTGGCCCCAGTCCCCAGGATGCTTGGACCTCAATGTCTACACTGTGCCAGGGGTGGTCCCACCTAAGGCTGCCAGCCCCTCCAGCTTGGCACAAGGAATACCAGACGGCAAAACCACAGGCTGTTTTGATGAGCTGTACTGCAGTATCCCCAGAGGACACTAGGGGGCAGGAGGCCCTCACATAAAAACTCAGGCTTGAATTTTAAAGGAGACTTTTCTGCCTACTTTTTGTGCATACCTTGGGCAGGCCAGTTGTCCTGAATTTAGCAGACACAGTGGAATGTCCTTTGCACCCATTAGAAGGTGCAGAACTGAAGCTGCATAAAGAATTTGGAACTCTACCCTCTCCAGAAAATAAACAAAGGTTCCTAACCACGTGGACTTTCTAAAAGCCAAAGTGCCCTTAGCTTTGGCCCCCAGGGTGAGGGGCTCCTCACCAGCCCCAGGCAGAGGAAAACTCAGGCAGAATTCAAGGAGACTGTTGACCTGTCATCGTTTATTATTTCAGCACTGTAACTGAGGAGCCTGAATTGCTGGCTCTTCCCTTTGTATTGTGTAAGGAGCACTGTACTCCTATAAAAGGTTTTAAAATACAAAATGTACAAGAAAACACAATCCCGAGTGCTGTAAACTGAACATCATCCATTTTATAAAATACAAGGTTTCAACTTGAGCCCATCTGAGCCTTAAAGATGACCATCTGTTCTGAGTATCAAAAACAGCTTCACAGCCAGACCCAGCAGAGCTCTGATGATAGTGACTAGCCCTGGGCAGCAGTGGGCTGCACCCCAGGGCAGCAGCACCACACGTGATCCTGGAGACAGCTGTTCCTTTTAAAGCTGTTTTCAGCCATGTTTCTCTGTGCGTCTCTAATAAGCAGAAGGCTGCTCATCCCATTCTTTAATCCAAGATCTCACACCGGCCGGAGGGGTAGGAGTAGGTGCTAGCATATGCCCAGCTGCTCAGTGCTGCTAACTAGAACCCAAATTGCATAGTCCAATGGATGTGTGCTTTAATACCACTATGTTGCACAAAAATGTAAGTCTTTATCTACAAAGCCAAAAAATATTGACTCTTACACCAAAGCTTTTACAAAGCTGATACAAAACTGCTTACATAGTATACAAAGCTCTATTTTAAAATTCAACTTTTATTTTAAATAGGAAAGCATTTCTAGTGCTACAGGCATCAAGGTATTTAAAAGGCATCAAAATTTGGTGCATAGCAACTCTGGATCATAGAGGCTTTTATTCTTGAGGACAACAAAGCAACCCCCAATGGATCCTGCAAAGAGAACTTTTGTAAGAAACCCATGTGAGGCAGCTATACCAGGGACAAAAGGGTGGAGGCAAGTCTGACCAGCTCTGTGGAACTTCATCTTATTGGCCAGCCCCCCACAACCTCCAAAGGAAGCTGTGGGCTTCCAACCATAGCCCTGAAATATCTCACTACACTACATTTTCAAAGAAAATATTAAAAAACCCAGCTCCAAGAGGACCAGAGTGATTTGCTGAAGGACAGACATTTTTTCTCAACTAGTTTTAAGGGAAAAATCTAAAACATGGTTTAAAGAGAGAGAAAAACAAACACTTCCTCATCATGGGTCAATAGCTCCTACCTGGGTGACTATAGGTGGTAGGCAATGAACAAGCTTCCTCTGCCCAGGACTCACCTGATGTCAGTAGAGAATCCTGGCATCTAGGACCCACAATCCCCTGGAATAACATCAGACCTTTAACCAGCCTAGCACACGGTCTCATATGTAGGCACTCAACAATTTTGCTTTCTGAATAAATAAAGTACATAATTTCACATGAAAACATACTACAAGCTTTGAAATGGCCCAGGCCTTGGACCAAGTAACTTATCCTATTAATGGGAGTGATAAGGATGGGGCTTGAAGAAAGCACCCAAGTTGGGCACTCCTTTGGTAGACAGCAGGCTGGAGCTTCTTGCTGGCCCCTGTCTTGAGTGCCAGCTTCACCTGCAGCAGCACCAGGGCATCTTTGGTCTGGAGGGTCAGGTTTATGATGCTACCTCATTTTTTTATTTGGCTCAAAGCCTTTTGGGGAAAAGGCTGGTTTTTAGGCCATGCAGATGGAACAGGGCAGGCCAGAATCTTTTTAGGCTGTAAACAGAATGAGGGATAAGCCTTCCGTGCCAGTATGAATCTTAAAAGCTTCCCATCTGGAGTCTTGTGCTTTCTCTGCTCTTGTTCTGAAGCATCGCTCATTTGTGCTTAGTTCCTGACACAACCTGGCCCCTGGAGATGAGTTAGAACCAGCAAAATTGCCTAAACCATCATGAGACTGGCTTCAAAGGTTACAGAGCAGCCAAAGGCTAATGCTTCCACTTACAAAAGGACACAAAAAGGAAGAGCACTTGTTTGTAGGATGGCAGGAACTTAAAGCTATGAAGCTAAAACCTCACCTTTCACAGTCACCTCATAAGTAGCTATCTTACCCAAGGCCCTGAGGGAAAAAAAGCAATTTCAACATGAAGTCAAAATGGAGAGACTGCAGGAATATCTAGAAAGTTACAAAAAGGCTGTGCTCTGGAATGTCATTTAATATTCCAACACTTCAATGATTGGAATGGTCTCTTCTCATTTTATCTAACAGTTTACTTTTGAAGAGGTATGAGCTACATTTGGCTTTATTTCCTATGATTCTATGAAAGGCTTCAGGACACATGCTGAGTTTCTGAGGCATAGGTGTGGGCTTGGACAATTTTTTTCTTTTATGTTTGCCTCTGGAAGGTTTTATCAAAAGTTCCTATTTTAAAAATATCATTAAAGCTAAAAGGTCCTTCAAATGACCACAAAGCAGTTCAAATTACTAACTCTAGCTAAGCAATGAGATCATCTACAAAAGCAGCACCTCTGAAATTAAGAGCCTGCTGCATTCACACTCAAAGCACCCATCATATAAAAGTATCCTATTCAAAAATAAAAAGCAAAGCTCATTTCCCCAAAGCTCAAACAGCCTCTGCTGTTGCTGTTCTTTTACAAAATCTACCCAAGTCCTGAGGTGGAGGACTGCTGCTTTCCCCAGTGATCCCAACTCCTGGCGCCAGTCCTGAAGGCCGCAGAGTTGGAAACCCAAGGTCCAAGGAGAGAAACATGCTGAGAAGTATATGGTGGTGGTGGATGCAAGATTGCAGCGAGCACTGTCAGAGCTCATCAGATCTTCCTAAATCCAAGGAATCGGGACCAGGGAGGGGAGCCTGCCTGCTCACCCCTGTTCCTTGGGAAACGGAAATCTGAGACATGTCTCTCCCAATTATCTCGTTCACTGAAAAACAAAAGGGAGAGTAATTAGTGACCTCTGTGTGACTGATCATGATGCTCAATGCCAATCTCTATTTCAAAGCCATTTTTCCTCTTGCCATGGCTTTCTATGAAGGTAAAGACAGTGCTTGAAACCTGCTCCTGAGCTGAATGGAAATATTCTATAGACTGTTTCAGATCCCTCATTCTCCCTTTCATTTTAGTTGGGTTGAGAAGGTGGGATGGCTGAGAAGAACAGAGAAATGTGCTTACACTCACTTGGCTCATGCTCTAGAGCAGTGGTTCTCAACCTTCCTAATGCCACGACCCTTTAATACAGTTCCTCATGTTGTGGTGACATCCAACATAAAATTATTTTCATTGCTACTTCATAACTGTAATTTTGCTACTGTTATGAATCATAATGTAAATATCTGATATGCAGGATGTATTTTCATTGTTACAAATTGAACATAATTAAAGCATAGTGATTAATCACAAAAACAATATGTAATTATATATGTTTTCCGATGGTCTTAGGTGACCCCTGTGAAAGGGTCGTTCGACCCCCAAAGGGGTCTCGACCCACAGGTTGAGAACCGCTGCTCTAGAGCAAAGGATAGGATACTTTTCATAAATGTGTTCACTTTAGGAGAGTTTTCCTTTTTTGATCTTGCAGTGCACCTCATATATAAAGTGAATGAAATGAATGCTTTGTTGAGAGTAAACCACTGGGATTTGGAGGTTATTTTGTTACCCTATGTTTATAAAAGCATCCTTTATCATGTGGGGGCATTTGTATTGTTTCTGATGCTTTCTGATTGCAGGCTCTTGGTTTTCTGTTGGTTTCCATGACTGGGAACACAGTGCTCTATGTCTAGTGCAAAGAATTTCAATCTTAAGGAACCAACATAGAAGAAAACACCCCCCCAAATAAGAAACTAGTTCTCTTGCCATGAGAACTCTGATTTGAAATGAAAATTCTTTGCTTTATCAACTAAAGATTCTATTCCCAGGCATATAATAAAAGAACTAAAAACATATCCACTTAAAAACTTGTACCCAAATGTTCATATTAGCATTATATATGACAGCCCCAATGTAAACAACCCAAATGTCTACAAAATGATGAACAGATAAACAAAATGTGGCCTATCTATACAACAGAATATTATCTATAATAATAAGAGCATAATATGCTAATTAGACCTGACAACCTCTGGACGAAGCCAGGGCTGCGAGGGAAGCCCAGGTCCTGGGTGCCAGAGGAAAGCTGGTGTCGACAGCCAGGGGAAGGAAGGCCTACTCTTATATGAATTTCGTGCATCGGGCCTCTAGTCTATATAATAAAAGCCTAAGCAATCATTACGGCGGAATGACCAGAACTACTTGTCGCAATGATGTGCACTGACCATCAGGGGGCAGATGCTCAACACAGGAGCTGCCCCCTGGTGGTCAGTGCACTCCCACAGGGCGAGCGCTGCTTAGCCAGAAACTGGGCTCACGGCTGGAGAGCATAGCAGCGGTGGCAGGAGCCTTTCCCGCCTCCACGGCAGCGCTTAGGAGCAGCGAGCCGAGCGATAAGCAGCGTGCAGGCAGGCAGTAAGGAGTGAGGGCTTCTGGACATCCCCTAAGGGGTCTCGGACTGTGAGAGGGTGAAGGCTGGGCTGAGGCCCCCCCAGTGCATGAATTTCGTGCATCGGGCCTATAGTTCAGCCATAAAAAGGAATGAAATTCTAATACATGTTACAACATGGATGAAACTTGAAAACATGCTAAGTGAAAGAAGCCAGACACAAAGGCCATATATGGTTTGATTCCATTTGTATAAAATGGCCAGAACAGGCCAATCCATATAGACAGAAAATAGGCAGTTTCCAGGACGTGTGAGAGTAACTGCTAATGTATATGGAATCTCTTTTTGGAATAATGAAAATGTTCTAAAATTAGACAGTGGTAATGGTTGCATAACTATGTGAATATACCAAAAATCACTGAATTGCACACTTTCAAGGCTGTTATAAACAAAAATAGACCAAGATAAAAAAATTCTACACTTAGAGTTTGATGTGGTTGTAGATCAAAGGAGATACAATCATTTTTAAAAAATCTTCAAGCATTAACATCTAATCTTTTTATAGTTTAGGTAGTTAAAAAAATTCTTCAAACTCATATTAATTATGGCTATAGGGAGAAGGGAACTAACATTCATTCCACAAATATTTATTGAACATCTACAGGTTAGACCAGAGGTGGGCAAACTTTTTGACTCGAGGGCCACAATGGGTTCTTAAACTGGACCAGAGGGCTGGAACAAAAGCATGGATGGAGTGTTTGTGTGAACTAATATAAATTCAAAGTAAACATCATTACATAAAAGGGTATGGTCTTTTTTTTTTTTTTAGTTTTATTCATTTCAAACGGGCTGCATCCGGCCCGAGGGCCGTAGTTTGCCCACGGCTGGGTTAGACTCTATAATTGAAATTTTATATCTTATTTCAATTAATCTTCACAATATTTAAGATCACTACTACCCTACTTTATCAGTTAACTGAGTCTTTGACAGTTCACATAATTTTTTTAGTAAATAAATGGTAGAGTCAGCTTCAAAATACCTGTCACTTTTTAGAGGCCAAAGGACTAAAGCAGGGAAATCATTTAGAAAAAGAAAATGCAAAGGACCTGTGACAAATGTGATATTAGGGGAGGGAAAGTGGGTATAGTGTGGTGATGGTAGGAAGAGGGAGAGACAAAAGGACTGACTCACCACCACCACCACCACCAACACCAACACCAAGGTTTTGAATCTAGAAAGAATGGTGCTGTCACTATTGGAAATAAGCTGAGGAGGAATTTAGAGGAGGAAGGTGGTTAGGTAGGTTACGTCTGGAATTGGAAATTAGAACATCCAACTGGAAAAATCCTGTGGGCAAAGGACTACAGTGAATGGTCAGAGCGAAGAGATTTTAGGCATCTTCATGCTAGAAACCTGGAGAATGGGCTAAGTTTTATAGTTTCACCAAAGAGCAGAAGGCTTAAAATGAGTGGGAGTAGCATTGTACTCTGATAAGATAGGACCTGAGGAAGCACATATGTAAGCAGAAGAGTTGCCTAGAAATTAGCTTTGATTTGAATACGTGCTCTGCTACTAACTCCATGTGTGTCCTTGGACTAGTTACTTCACATATCTAAGACTCCATTTCTTTTTACAATTATGGTGTTAAACTAATGAAATTTCTTTCAAGTGTAGAAGTATACTTTTATGTAAATGACAAATTTTAAAATGGCAACACTCAGAAAGGCAAAGAA